ATGGGGCCTGCTGGTCAACCTCCCAGCCCCTCCCCTGGACTGGAAGGTCCCGATCTCCAAGTCAGGGCCAGGCCCAGGGTCAGGGCTGGGAAACAGGGCCGGGGGGTGGGGGGTGGGATGGGGGATGGCAGACACGGGCAGCGAGGGAAGGCGGAGGGCGAGAGGCAGGGCGGGGAGGAGGCCGGGAGGTGGGGAGCCTAACCGGCCCTGATCCCCAGCCAGGCCCAGGGACCCCACCCATCCACGAATTTCGTGCCCCGGGCCTCTAGTGTGGAACACTCTTTAGCCATGAGAAAAGCAGGCACTCCCGCCATGGTGCCAACATGGAGGGCATTCTGCTAAGTGAAGTAAGTCAAACAGCAGGAGACAACTACCATATAATCTTCCTCCTAGGTGGACTCTACAAAGTCAGCTCGTAGCGGCAGAGTGAAATGGCGGCTGGCAGCTGGAGGGACCGGGAAGCGGGGAGATGTTGGCTGAAGGTAAAAGCTTTCAGCGATGAGATGACTAATCTGGGGACCTGAGGGGCAGCGTAGTGACCACAGTGATGCTATAGTCCACGCCTGGAAACGGCCTCCACAGCGGCAGCCCTCACCCCTTCCTCTGGGACGGACCTGACCCCTGGCACCCTCTCTGGACCTGGCCTGCTCTCAGCGCATGGTGAGGCCGCTGGGGGTGGGGTGTGTTAGGTCCTCCACACCCCCAGCTGCACCCGGAAAGACAGGAAGGTGAGGCCGGCACCGAGTCCCCCAGGAGGGAGGCAGGGACAAGGCCCAGTGCCATCCCCCCTCCAGGCACTGCACCCGGGCAAGAAGAGCCAAGGGCCCAGCCCTCCCGCCGCCCCATAAAGCCTGACCTGTGCCTCCTCCCCACCGCGCCCCACGTGGCTGCTCTGCCGGCCTTGGGGCTTCCATAGGTCCCTTCACCTCCCTGGGCTGCAACTCAGGGGCTCCTGAGTCTCCTGGAGTGTTTGTGGGGTGGGGGTGGGGTGAAAGAGGAACTTGGGGCTCCATTGTCCCCACCCCCCGCAGAGCGAGCGAGCGAGCCTCTCTGGCCACTTGGAGAGGGAGAGGCACCGCTTGACATTCCTGAGCAGCCGCTGGGCCGAGGCCAGTGCTGGTTCAGGGAGGAGGAGGAGGGGGAACTGGCCCAAAGGTGAGGGAGGGCCCGGGCATGAAGCATCGTGGGAGGGGGCCCTCCAACACGGCCCTTGCCCAGCCCCCGCCGCACTGGCCCTGCCAGGAGCTGCCACACAGGCCCCTTGTTGGACACACCGACGTCTCCACCCTGCGGAGCTGCCAGCCGCTGTCCGGGAGCCAAGCACTGCATGTGCCCTCCGGCCGGCCGGCGGGGCTCGGCCAGCGGCATGGGCGCACCGGTGCGTTAGGGGAGCGCCAGGCACCCCCCTCCCCCCAGGGCAGCCACAGAGCCCGATGGTCCCTCCTGGGCACACACACAGCGGACTCCCTGAGCCTCAGGATTCGCCTGGCAGCTCAAGCTCACCTCCCCGCCGGCTTGGTCCCCGCACATCCTCCTCTTGAGGGGCTGGGGGGCAGGGCCGCAGGGTACTCACACCCTGCCTCCCTCCCCGCCACGAAGGCGAGGCCGCACAGAGGGCGCACAGAGCTCCTCAGAGCCTTAGCCAGGAGGCCGCACAGATGCCGGAGCACAGGCACACAGGAAGATGCTCAGCAGCATTAGCATCAGAGAAATGCAAGTCAGAACCGCAAGGAGCCGCCCCGCAGCCATTAGCAGCCCATTATCCGCGGGCAGCGAGGGAGGGGGTGCGGGAGGTGGTGCCGGGGATGTGGCGCCATCGGAACCGTGCGCACCGCGGAGGGTGGTGAAGCAGCAGGCGCCATGGAAGACGGTGTGGAGGCTCCTGAGCGCACCTGCCACCCCATCCACCTCTCAGCGAACATCCAAAGGAATGGGAAGCGGGATAGGGGAGAGAGGGAGAGGGAGAGAGAGAGAGAGAGAGAGAGAGAGGGAGGGAGGGAGGGAGGGAGGGAGGGAGGGAGAACGCGAGAGAGCGCTGTGCGCCATGCCACGGCGGCAGTGGTGGCAAGACTGTGTCCATCGGTGGGTGGATGAGGCCGTGGATCCATACGCACCACGGAAGGTTACCCGGCCCCCCGCTGCCGCAGCCGGTGTGAACCGGAAGTGGACAAACACGGCACGGTCCACAGACAGGGTCTGCAGTGACCGTCCCGGGAGCGAGCGCGGCCCGCGGCCCGCGGCGGGGAGGGCTGTCTCGGACAGAGCCGCAGACCGGCAGGATGAGAAAGCACCGGACATGTTTCACAGCGGTGTGAACACAACCAACACCACAGGCCGCTGTGGCTCAGTGGCTGAGCGTCGACCTATGAACCAGGAGGTCACGGTTCCATTCACGATCGGGGGGGGGGCCCACAAGCCCGGGTTGCAGGCTCAATCCCCAGTACGAGGCATGCGGAAGGCAGCCTATCAATGAGCCTCTCTCGTCATTGATGTTTCTCCCTCTCCCTTCCTCTCTGGAATAAAAAATACTATATATATAATTTTTTTTTTTTAATGGTTAAGATGGTAAACTTTTCTTTACCACAATAAAATAAAGGAGAAAAGGGGGAGGGGACCTTAAACGGGATGTCAGCCAATCTTCCCAATTCACAGATGAGAAAACTGAGGCCCAGAGAGGAGCGCAGGGCCCAGGTCTGGAGCCCCGGCAGGATCAGGCCAGGACAGGCGTGGCAGGCTGTGAGATGTGGCCGAGTGGTGGCTGGGCTCAGCTCAATGGCCTGGTGGTGCTAGCTTTCAAGAGGTGGCCTCATGTGCCAGGGCCAATGGGCTATCTAGAAAATTCACTCAAGAGGAATAACACCTGTGCGGCTGATGTCAGCCGACTGTTGCCTCCCTGAGCCCCCGCCTACCTCACTCAAGCCAGAAGAACAGGGCGGGGCAGGGGTCACGGGGTAAAAATGTGGAAAACAAACCTGGACTCAAACCTGCCTCTGCCGCGGCCGCCACCTCAGCTTCTCCACCTCCAAGACCCGGGGAAGGGCCTGGCTCCTCACCAGGAACATGGCCGGGGTTTGAATTTTATTTTATTTTTTTAGAGAGGGAGAGAAACGTCAACAGGAGAGCGAGAGATCCATGGGCTGCCTCCTGCACACCCTCTCCTGGGGATCAAGCCTACAACCGGGAACTGGACCGGTCACTTTGTACGTGGAGACGTTTAGTAAACGGAGTCTAGGACACTGGCTGACACTCTGGGGCCGGGCTCATGTTGTGGGGACCCTGGTTCCTGTGTGCCCTCCCAGTGCCTCAGTCTACTCATCTGCAGAACGGGGATAACAGTACCGCGTGGGGCTGCTGTGGGGATCACAGGAGCTTGTTCATGGAAGGGGCTTGACACCAGGTTTGGGACAGGACCAGTGCTCAGCAGTGAGGTAGTGTTGGGAGATAATGGGGCCAGAGTGTTCCCATCCCTCACACACCCCTGGGTATCTCAGCTACTGCTCGCTCCTATGGCCCCACGAGGGCCTGACAACAGAAGTGCTCTTTGTTGCCGAAACCGGTTTGGCTCAGTGGATAGAGCGTCGGGCTGCGGACTCCAAGGTCCCGGGTTCGATTCCGGTCAAGGGCATGTACCTTATATGCGGGCACATCCCCAGTGGGGGGTATGCAGGAGGCAGCTGATCGATGATTCTCTCTCATCGATGTTTCTAACTCTCTATCCCTCTCAATCCTTCTCTGTGTAAAGTCAATAAAATATATTTAAAAGAGAGAGAGAGAGAGCGCGAAGTGCTCTTTGTTGGAGGGGCAGGCAGAGCAGGTCTGGAGGGTGGGGTCCTCGGCCAGGCCTCTGCAATGTCACCCTGTGTTTCCCTGGCCCTGGGTGTGACAGAGTCAGGGCAATGGGTGTGGGGGGAGAGCAGAGCTGGGTAGTGCCAGGCCCCAGCCCTTCATCCTCCCGTGTCCCTGATGGTTGCCACAAGCAGACACCACCAGTCAACCCTGCCACTGTCCCCTGAGCGCCAGGCAGCTGACTGTGGGCTCCAGGCTTCCTTTGGCCTGAGGCAGGGAGACTGGAGGGCCCCCCCGCCCCCAAAGGCCCTCAGGAGGCACGGCCTAGCCAACCATTCTCCCGACAGCAGCCGCTCCTCCCCCAACAGCCCACAGCCCCACGGAACCCCGGGAGCACCAAGGAGTCCTCCCTACAGCCACCCCGCAGGATCTGGCTTAATCCCGAGCACGAGGGCGGTGGGCGAGGAGAGGATTTGGTTTCATTCCTGCCGATGCCCGCGCCTTGGCCCGGGCCCCGGGGCACAGGAGCGAGGCCGCACCTCCGCCAACAAAGGCTTCCTTTATTAGACGGAGATGCGCTGCATTCCATTCCGAGGCGGACCCTGGACGTGGGGAGCTACGTGTCCGGGTGGTACCGGGACCTGAATGGGCTGGGAGGGGTGAGGAGGGCCTGGGGCCGGCCTATCCCACCCCTGTCCCGCGGGCAGGGCTTGGGGACCTCGGCCCACGCAGTCTGAAGGCAGGCATGGCGCGCTGAGGCCCCGTCTGTGCTCTGCTCTGGGGAAAAGTGCCCGGTCCTTCCAGCGGTGGGGGCATTGCCTCCCAGAGCACAGGGCTCAGAGGGGCGGGGGCAGGTCAAATGGGAGGGCCCTTGTCCATCGGAGAAACTTGGAGGCAGTTCTCAAGCAGGTTCCAGCTGGCATGGAAGTCCTTGGCACCACTGCCCCGGGGGCAGGTCCACTGGGACGGGGAGAGGGATGGCCACAAGGGGGCGCTGGTGCCCAGGGCTTGGGAACTGGGGTGGGCAATCCCAGGACACCAGGCTGCCCAGCAGCCACAGCACCTGCAGGCAGCAGCTCTCGGACCTGGGGCCGAGGGTGCTGGCCGCCGAGGTGTCCCCTCCCGAAAGCTGAGCCCTGAGTGCGGTCCGGGTCCTTGGTCTTTGGTGCCTTCTAGAGTCTCGTGGTGGCTGTGCCACGGGGAAGGGAGAAGGTCCTGTCTCCCTGGGCTGGGCGTGTGGGGCCGGCGCAGTGCGCCTCCTCGGCTGGCCGTCTGTCCGGCTGTTCAGCTTCCGGCTCGGGGCGGCTCCTGCCCCGCCTTCCCGTCCGTCTGCCGGGCCTGGGCAGCTGCTGCTCCGGCTCCGGGCCCCGCCGGGCCTAGGCCTCCTGGGGGAAGAAGCCCAGCTTGGCCAGCGACATCTCCTTCCGCAGCCTGGTGACCTCCCAGAACATGGGCTCTGCTGCAGGGCAGAGAGGGGGCGGCTTGGCGACGGCTCGGGGTCACCTCGGGCGGACAGCCTGACTGGACAGGGCAGCGGCAGGCACTCTGGGGTCCCCCGGTCCCCAGGACGAGGGGCTGCTCTCTCTGGGGCTCCCGTCTGCGGCTCTGGGGACTGCGGAGGGGGCACGTGAGGGAGCTGCACTGTCCAGGCAGCGGGTGGCGGGGGCCCCCACAGCCGGACACATCAGCAGGTCACACGGCCACACACTCGCAAAGCCTTCCCTCCTCTCCTCCCGAGGCTTCACCGGGACCCTGAGCAGGGCGCAGGGCGCAGGGCCAGTCCCTGCAGCTGGAAGGAGGTGGCCCCTCTGGCCTTCCTGAGGGAGGGATTTGGCCCCCCAGGCTGGGGGAGAGGCGCTCACTCCAAACTGGCTCAGGAGGCTCTCAGGGAACCAAGTGTGGAGAAATGGAATCCAGGCTATGCAGGGGGGTGGGAGGGGGCCAGGGGCATCCGAAGGCCACACCTGGAGGAGAGGGGTGCCTAGGGGAGGCCCCTCCTGCAGGTCCTCAAACGCCAGGCCAGTGACAGGGAGCTGTCCCTGCAGGGCCCTGGGCCAGGGAGAAAGCAGTCCCACCCAGGCAGGCGGGTGGCATCAGGCTAGCGTTACCTGGTGAAGCGGGTTCAGAGGCTCCTTTGGCAGCTCACATCAGCGCCTGGCTGACCAGCGCTTTCCTAACCCAGCGTCTCCCCCTCCCAGAGTTCTGGCCCCAGCCTGGGACAGCAGAAGCCTCTGATGGACCCCAGGGCGCCCTCCCCGCGGCGGCCACCAGGGGGCGCTCACCATCCTGCCGCACCAGGCCTTGCTGGATGTAGCGGATGTAGGTGAAGAAGTTGCACACGGCAGTGATCTGTGGGAAGAAGCGGGGAGCATGTGACCAGCCAGTCCTCAGACTTGGGGTCCCTCAAACGCCAGGGCAGGTCAGAGACCAGAGCGGGACGCCCCGTGTCCTGTCCCATCAGAGCCTGAATCGGACGGGGCTGGTCTGTTTTAAGAATAACGGTACTGCCGAAACCGGTTTGGCTCAATGGATAGAGCGTCGGTTTGGGGACTGAAGGGTCCCGGGTTCGATTCCGGTCAAGGGCATGTACCTTGGTTGCGGGCATATCCCCAGTAGGGGGTGAGCAAGAGGCAGCTGATCGATGACTCTCTCTCATCGATGTTTCTAACTCTCTATCTCTCTCCCTTCCTCTCTGTACAAAATCAATAAAATATATCGAATATTTAAAAAAAAAAAAGAATAACAGTACTATTTACGACTTGTACTGAAACTAGCACTGCATCAAGGGCACGCTCTACGGGCCTCTCCTGCCCTGTTCCTCGGGGAAAACGGAGGCTCCAGAAACGAAGCCAGCTGACAAGTGTGGAGGTCACGGATACCTCGGCTGCTGCCCAGGGGACCTGATCTGGGCACCCTGCTAAGATGGGCCCAGACCACTGACCAGGGAGGTGAGAAGCAATGGGTGTTGGGAGCCATGGCGTTTATGGCATTTGTTCTGGTGTGGCTGTGTGGCCTGATCCTCTGAGCCTGCTCTGTAGACCAGAGTCCCAGCCCTGGGGGCCCCTCAGGAGCCATGCGGTGCGCTAAGCGGTGACTCACTCTGGCCCGGGACGACGGTGAGATGTAGTAGTGGCTCTCGGAGTCCCCGAGCCGGATTCGGTGGCGACAGGCCCGGGCCAGCCCGCTCAGGGCGCACGTGCTGCGGGGAAGCAGGGGCCGAGGGGGCCGGCTGGGCTCACCCGCCCGCTCATGCAGGGGGAGGCACAGCCGAGGGGGAGGCAGTGGGAGGGGCGGCAGATGGACACCGGGGCGGACCTGGCGTCCTCTCCCCAGGCCCAGCCTCCCGAGGAGCCCAGGGCAGGCCAGGCCAAGAACTCCCGGGGCTGGACCGTTACACTAAGCTGGGGAGCCCCTGCCCCTCCCCCCCGAGGGCAGAACGTGGGGAACCGCACGCTGGCTGAACCGAGAAGCCCCTACGATGCCCCTCAGACCATCACCCCTTCCCGGACGAAGCAGAGGCCACCCTGTCCTCCCCTTGGTCACCAAGGCCCCAGGCGAGGCCATGCCAGCAGGGCCTTTGCCAGCTCCCCTCAGCTCCGAGCAGCCCGGTGCTGCCTTCTCCTTCACGCGGCCGTGGGTGCCAAGGAGCCGGCGCCTCCAACGCTCCACACCTCGCCCCTCGTCTCCTCTGCTGCTCGCCCTGCCCCGGAAGTAGCCACGGAGAACCCCGAGCAAAGGAAGGCCAGCCAGGCTGCTCGGCTGGGGGACTTGTCAGGGCCTTCGCTGCCCCCGGGTCACCGAGGCTTCCGGGTGGACCAGGGAGCCCCTTTTCAGGGACATGGTTGGTGGTTTGAGAAAGGCTGGCAGAGCAGGTTAACACCCAGGTCTCACTGGCTCCCACCCCTGGCAGCCAAGAGCACTGATCCCCAAGCTCCACCCTTGCTCCCCCCACACTCCCCCCCTCATCGCCCCCCACAAGCCTCTTGGTTCTGCTCTGGCCCTACTCAGTGCAGCCTGAGCAGAGAAAGGACAAGGGGCCAGGGCCCCTGGGCCCTTAGGACCAGAAGGCCGAGCTGGCCACTGACACCACTCACAGTCGAGGCCCGGACCCCACTGTGGGAGGGAGGGGGTGGGGAGGGGGTGCCAGGCCAGCAAGGAAGAAGGACACCCCACCCCCGGACTCCCTGGCGAGTCTGGGGCCCGTGACTAGGGGCAGGATGGTCAGTGGGCAGAGCCACCGTCCCTCTTCTGCCTGGTGCCCCTGTACCCGCCCCCTGCCCACCCGGAGCCCCACAGCGCTCTCTGGGCATGCCCTGCGGAGCTCGTCCTCTCCGGCCAGGCCCCTGGGGGGAGCAGCAGGGGCAGGGAGCCGGCTTACTTGGTGCTGCCATAGCCAGCGGCGGCTGCCTTCACCGTGGGCGGTGTGTGCGAAGCCACGGGCTCGATGGTGAGCGTGTTGTCCTCCACGGCGGCCCGCACCAGCGCCGAGAGCTGCGCGGACCAGGGCGCGGTTGGGCGGTGCGGGCGGCCGGCGGAGGGGCTGGGCCTGCCGGCCGCCCACGCCCACTCACCTCCTGCGCCGTGAAGTCCAGGCAGGGCCCCACGTCCTCGCGGTACACGCGCCCCAGGAAGGCGCTGTCCTTGTCCAAGCTGGGCGACTCCCGCCAGGCCTGGAACTCCGCAAACAGCGTGGTGTCCACCTGCGGGGGAGGGAGGGGGAGGGTCAGGGCGCGGGGCAGACGCAGGGGCGGGCAGAACCGAGGAGGGGGCAGCAGGGAGGACGCAGGGCAGGCAGCAGCATGCCGGGGTTTCCCAGGGCCCCCCTGGGCCTGCAGGAGAGCTCAGCTTCAAGGCGCTCCGGCTTCCTTTGCACCAGCCGCTGGCAGGCTCGGCCCCCTGCGCTGTCTCCGTGCGCCCTGGGCACGCACCTGGTCCAGCCTCATCGGGAAGAGCCCTGCCTCCTCCAGGAGGAAGGGCTGGAGTGCCCCCACAGGTCCACCAGGCCCCGCACACCGAGCACACACACACAGAAGGGAGCACAGGGCGCTGGGTGGGGGGGGGGGCATGCAGAGTGAGGCACAGGGGCAAAGGGGCGGCCCCGGAGCCGTTACCTGGCGGGAACAGGAGAGAGAGGCAGCGGAGGCGGGGGCCGCGGGCCGCTCCCCAGGCGGGAGCTGCCAGGCCGGCTCGTAGGTGAGGTGAACCGCCTTACTGGGGACCACACAGAGGGGCAGGGACAGGAGGGGGGGCAGCCTGGGCTGGGCAGGCGGGGCCAGCAGGGCAGACAGACAGCGGGTGCAGGAGACAGAGGGAGGAGCAGAGGTTAGTGTTCGGTCAGAGCTCAGAACGCAGAGGGGGACAGAGGCCGGGCCCGCACCTCCTCCCAGGAAGCTCTGAGACGCGGGGCAGGATGGGGCTGGGGCCACACGGGCATTAGAGACCCAGGAAGCCTGGGCCCACTGGAGCCCTCGGGGGTGCTTGCTGGGTGCAGCCCCGCGCCGAGCTCCGACACCCACGCTCCTCCACCCCTCTCCGCCCCCGAGCCCCCACGTCCCACGCGAGGAGACTGAGGCGCCGACAGGAGCCCCCACTTGCTCGAGGACAAGGGTACCCCGGGCCAGCGTCCACCCGACCCACGTGCTCCATGTGCCCGGCCGAGGAGGGAGACGGCCCCTCGGAGGCCATGCCTGTCCCGGCACCATAGCCACAGGGTCCCCAGGCCTCGAGTGCAGGGCGTCCCGGGTGGTGCCGGCCTCAGGGCTGCGGCCACAGGGCCCATCGCCGTCACGGAGGCTCAGCGTTGCCGCCGGAGGGCAGGCGATCAGGCCGAGGCAGCTGGGTGCAGGGCGCCACTTCCGCGTGGAGGAGTGGGGCGGGGGGCCAGACCCCAGGCTGCACACTGGGAGCTGAGGGCCATAGTGTCCTTTACAGGAGCCTGCCAGCCCTCACGGCCAAGGACACACGCCCAGAGAGGGCAGGGCAGGCTCCGGGGTGGGGGTGGTGGGGGAGAGGTCCGGCCTGGTCCCACCTGGCCCCTCTGCCTGGCTGACAGTGGGTCAGTGCCACGGCCCGCCCCCCGCCCTCACCTCTCTGCCCTCCTTGTCCGGGGGGAGGATGTGGCCTGCCGCGGGGCACGCGAGGGGGCAGAGGGCGCTGCTGGTGCTCTTGTGGCGCAGGTGGCCCTTGCGGGGCCCGGCCTTGGCGGGGCTCAGCAGCTGGGGGTGCAGCTCGCGGTTGGGAGAGGCGGGCGTGGACGTGATGACCAGCGTCTTCAGGGCGGTCACCTCCGCCTGCAGCATGTCGATCTGGCCGGGACGAGAAGGGTGCCAACCGTCGCCCAGGGTGACGCGGCCCTTCCCCTCCCCCCCTGCTGCCCGGCAGCCAGGATGGCAGCACGGAGCACCCACCCCCACCAGGTACCCCCACTGTGAGCCGGACCCTGAGATGCCCTGTCGGCGAGCTAGCCTCCCACGGAGGCGCACCCCGGAGCTAGGACAGCCAGGCCTCCCATTTTAGACGCACAAACACGCTACTTGCCCAGGCTCTCACAGCCAGACAGAGGACCCTGCTGTGTTGAGGGCGTGTGTGTGTGTGTGTGTGTGTGTGTGTGAGCTCGTGTGTGCGTTGGGGGGGGGTGGGGCAGGGGGTGTGTGTGACAATGACCATAGGATCCTCCCAGCCCCTGGAAGGCCCCAGGTCTCTGTGGCACCATGAATTCCAGCCCCACCCTCTGGGCCTCGGTGTGCCCACCCCTGGCGCCCTGCCAGGCTGTGCAGGGTATGTATGTGTGTATGTGTGTGTGTGTGTGTGTGTGTGTGTGCGTGTGACTGATCGGAGGAGAGGGGGTGTGGGCAATGTCGGGGCTCACCTTGCCCCGAGCCTCTTTCAGCTGCTTTTCTGACGCCGCCTGCTTCGTGTTGGCTTCTCGCACCATCTTGTGGGCTTCCTGGGAAGACGGCGGTGGTGAGGAGCCGATGGCGCCCAGCAGCCCGGCCCCCGCCGCCCCGCGGCCCCGCGTACCTCGAACAGGCTGGCTGTCAGCTCCTCCAGCTCCCGCTCCAGCTGCTCCCGGACCCTGCACAGCCGCTCGCACTCCTCATCCTTCAGCTTCAGCTCCTGGGGGCACCGGGCGGGCGGCTGTCAGCCCCTCCGGGGCCCTCGGGCCCGACACTGGGGCGACCAGGCCCCTTCCGGGCCCCATGCCCGGGTCGCCTTGGTGGCGGGGGCTGAGCTCGCCTCTGCTGCTCTAGCTTATGAGGCGTTTTCCATTCAGCTGCTGGCAGGGGGGGCACCCCGGCTGCCGGTGCCTCAGAGCCTGGAGCAGGTTTTCGGGGACCACCCTTCTACAAGGCACCCTACAACTGCTGTCCTCTGTCTGCACTCCGCCGTGCCCGTGCAGGCCTGGACCGGTGCCTGAGGCCTCTGGGCATCCGGCCCCCCCCCCCCCCCCCCCCCGCTCTCCCCGACCCCCGGCCCCCACCTTCTGGGCCTTGTGCAGCTCCTCCTTCAGGAACTCGGAGCCCTTCTCGCGGATCTCCATGGACGAGCTGCACAGGCGGGACACGTCCAGCTGGGCGGCGGCGGCAGGGCCCTCCTCGCCTTGGGTCCCCTCCCCGGCAGCGGCCTCCGCCTCGGCTCCCGGGGGCTCCCTGCGGCTCTTCCAGGAGGCCGGGGCAGCTTCGAGGGGCGGTGGGCGGCCCTCGTCCGGGTGGGGCTGGCTGCGAGGCAAACGGCAAGCACAGGATGCAGTTCTCAGACCTAGAGAGCTGAGCCTCTGCCTGCCACCCTGGGCCTCAGTTTATAAAATAGGGACGCCAGCACCAGGGTTGTCCCAAGGGCAGAATGGCCAAACACGAAATACCTCGGGGGCAAGACTTCATCTTTGTCCACCACACCCACTCCAGCCCAGGGCCTAGGGCTCTGTGTGGCACCCAGTAGGTGGTCAGCACCCAGTAGGTGCTTGGCTCTGGGTGTCCAACAGGTGACTGTCCATTCATCAGGGCTGAGAACCTGAGCGTCCACCTCTGTAGAGGTGGACAACCCCTGTGGTCCTGCCTCAAGGGCCACTGAACGCAGAGAGATGTGCATAAAGCCTTGGCACACAGGAGGCACCTAAGTGGGCACTGCTTTTGTTGTTACGGTTAATGCAAATGTTATGCAAATTAAGGACGGATCAAAGACGAAGGACCAGCCATGGCCGGCAGGGCTGAGGCCCAAAGGTTCTTCAACCACCAGGCAAGGCAGACCCACCCACTTCCTGCCTCCCAGGCCCAGCTCTCCCTGGCCAGCCCAGTGGCCTCCCCCGACCCCATTCTGGGCCTCAGGACCCTCCTCCCCTGGAGGGGGGGGCACCAGCCTCTGTCCTCACCTCCTTAGGCTAATCCACACTCCCCCCTCCAAGAGGACCCTGGGGAGGGGGCAGGGGAGGAGAGAGGGAAGAGGCCTTAGCCAGAAGCGCTTTGTGCCAAGACAGCACCTCTGGACTCGCTCACTCAGCAAAAGCTGGCGGCTCCTGAGCCAGCAGCTTCTAGGCGGCCGCGGCTGGGCTGAGGGTGGGGGCTGGGCCAGGCCGCGGGTAACATGCGGAAGTGGAGGTGGGGGGCTCCGAGGGGCCCACCCAGGAGGCAGGAAAGACAAGGCCAGAGTCGTCGGGTTCGGGATTGCTGCAGGGAGTGGTGAGAGGCAAGGCCGGGGACTGGCCTCCTCCTGTCCTCTGGACCCTGGAGCCATCACCAAGCAGCCCCCCAGCCTCAGTTTCCCCCAGGGCAACACAGAGGGGCTGGCCACCCGGGGAGCCCAGCAACGAGCCCTTTCCTAACCCTTCACACGGCCCTGAGCAGCCGGCCAGCCCGGCCCAGCCTCTGCTCTGGAGCTGCCCAGAGTGTGGCCTGGAGGTCTCGGGGCTGGTCCTGCTGGTGAGTGTTTGGCTGGGACACCCCTCCTCCGCTCCATCAGCAGAGTGTGTGCCAGACAGGTCTCCCTACTTCCCTCGTGGGAAAGGGTCTCGTTGGCAGGGCGTCCCTGGGGCCTGTGGGCATGGCAGTGCCACGGGGTCCCCGGCCTACAGCCGGCGTCCCGGGCCTTACACTCGCTAGAACCGCCCGGGGTGCTCCGCTCACACATCTCATACCACACTCAACAGCAGCGAGGCCAGGCCCCGTCCTAAGAGGAGGGGGAGTCTCGGCGAGGGACACCACCAGGCCAGGTCACAGAGCCAGCTGGTGGGTGGCAGTGCGGGAACAGGTGCCGGGTCTTCAGTCCAGGCCCAGCGCCCCCAGTGGGCGGGGTGTGAGTGGTGGGATGTGTGCTTGGCCCCGGAGCCGGGACCGCTGGGCCCAGGGGACCCAGGAAGCCGCCCCCCCCGCGTGGTGCAGCGAGCGCAGAGGCCAGCGGTGGGCAAGCCCAAGGCCACACCAGACTCTGAGCTGCAGCGCAGGCTGCACGTGAGCCCCCGGGAATGTCCCGGAAACACCTGCCCCTGCTTCCCGCCGGTGGCTGGGGCTAAAGCCTGCAGGAGGTGCGCTGACAGTTAAGGGCAAGTCCCCGGACACAGCCCCAGGTAGATGGCGTTTGGCAGACACCACTCTACCCCACCTCACTCCACCCCACCCCACCCCACGCCTGCTGGCTCTGGGTCCCACCGCTGAGCCCTCTGGCCCGGAGAGCTGCGCCCACTGGCCATGCGGAGGTCAGGGGCTCGGCCCTCAATGTGGGGGGGGAGAGTGGGGGGCAGCAGGCCCACCTCGGAGTTGCCCACTTGGATAGAATAAGCAAGAACCAGACCAGAGGCCAAGAGTGGGGGTGACCCCCGGGGACAGCACAGGTCACGGACAGGACCCCAGGCCTCAGGCACCCAGACTCTGAGCCTGTCCCTCTGCAAGGCCCACCCGGCCTGCCCAGGAAGAGACGGCACCAGTCCCGCCCAGAGCACCCAATGCTGCCCACCAGTGTGGCCTGGGCCTCTCCCGCTGGTCCCAAGGGCAGGGTGGGGGTGGGGCCCGACAGGCCCCCATCATTTTCCCAACCGGCTCTCACTGCAGCCCCTGCCAGGGGGATGGGACTCTGTTCTGCCACCGGAGGAGACGGAGGCCCCGAGACAGTCTCTGCGTCACCCCCCACCCCCGAAAAGCCCAGCACAGCCCAGCGGCAGAGCGTGGGGACAGCAGGACCACCCTGTGGTCACCAGCTGCCCAGCTGTCCAGGGCCGGGGCCAGGGTGCAGGCGCAGGCAAGGCCCACCCCATCCCGGGAGGGAAGCTCCGATCTGAGGACCCTTTTCCTCCCACTTCCGCCTGCGAGGCCAGCTCGGTGACTCAGAACCTTCAGGCTCAGCAGGGACCCAGGCCCCTCCCTCCTAGGGTCCAGCCCAGGCCAGAATCCTGTCCCGCAAGCTCAGCCCCGCACGGGCCCGCGGTGCCCTGGGCGTGAGCCCCTGTGTGGGGCGGACACGCTCTCAGCAGAGAGGGGGCTCCCTCGGAAGTGCTCCCCTGTGTCCCCTGCAGCCCGTCCCCACCCCCTGCCCAGACCTCCCCAGTCCCCGTTCCCCGCAGACAGCCCAGCGTCCAGGATACGGGCCCTGGAAGGTCGGCTCCGGGGCAAGAGACGGGAAGAGTCAAGGCCACAAGTGGGGGTGTTTCCTGGAGCCCCGGCAGTTCAGACAGGAAGCGCCCCGGGGGGTCACTTCCCCTGGAAGCACGCCGGGGTGCGGGGAGTGCAGCCCCGCGCCCCCACACCCATCCAGGCCGCCCGGGAGGGCAGCGTGCTTCTCTCCCCAATCACAAAAATGGGCCAAAATGGATCCTACGGTCCCGCCACCCAGCAACCCCACTGGAGCAGAGGCCATTCCTGAGGCCAGGAGGGCCCCACGAGGTCCGCTGTGCCCCCCAGCCCCCGCCGGCCCAGCCAGCCACACAGTCCCTCTGCCCAGGTCACCTCTATGAGCCAAAGGCCCTGAGCTGATGGGCATCACAGGCTGGTTAGGCCGAGAGGGAAGCTCCGGAGCCGGGGCAGCAGAGGGCTGGAGGGGCGCTGGGACCTTCCCCTCTGCCCAGGGCAGGTGGCTGCGGCTGGTCAGGTCAGCGGGCGCCCTGGAGGGGCCAGGAGACCCCTGCCCTCACTCAGCAGCGCCCAGTCACCCCGAGGGCATGAGGCCGGCAGTCAGTGACCCTCCTCTGGAGACCAGCCGCGGAGGGAGACCCCAGGACAGGTTCCGCGTTGGCTCCCCATCAGCCTCCCGCCCAGCGGGCTCCCCTGACCAGGAGGGGCCGGGACAGCTCCAAACCCCGCAGGTGGGAACCCCGAGCCGCGGCCCACCCGCCCGGGCGGAGAGAGGGTTCGGGGCGCAGGTGTCACCTCGGGGAGGAACCTCCTTCGGCCGCTGCGGGAGATGCTTTCCCCATCCCGGTTTGACAGGAGATTCAGAGAAGGATGGCGACTTGGCGGGAAGTGGCCGGGTGGGAACTGCACCCGAGTGCTGGCACTGGTGAGTCATGTGACCTGTCACCCAGAGAAACCCCAGGGCGGGGGCGGGGGGGGGGGATGGGGCTTTCGGAGAAGTGAGGCAGGAGGCAGACGGCTTTGGGGAAGTTGGAGATGGTGCCAGACGGTGGGGGGGGCGGGCCCCGGGCTCCCCCCACGGCTGTTGAGAAGCCAGGTGGCTCTGAGCCAGGAGGGGCCACACAGACACCAAGGACTCCCAGAGGGGGCTCGTGGGAAAACCAGGGGCCGGGGTGGGGTGGGGGGAACAGAACAAATGGACATCGCAGCCATTAATCAATGTGATCGGAAACCCAGGAATGAGGCGAACAGTGGTACCCGGGGCAGCACCAAGAGGCTGGGGTGGGGTCTTTCGGGGAAGGGAAGGGGGTGGCTGAGGCATTGGGGAAGGGGCGGCTGGAGGGAGGTACCCGGCCAGAGGGAGCACCCACAGCCTGAGCCTGGATGAGGTATGGGGGGCAGAGGCGGGGAGGCCGGAGAGCCAGCCTGGGGACCTGGGAGGAGCACTGCCTGGCGGTGGAGAGGTGGGGAGTTCAGAAGAGGGGAACATAGTCGACAAGGGACAGAGCAGGACTCTGGAGGGGGGGCGGGGCTGGGTCCACTGCAGGAAGGGGAAGCAGGTGTGTGCACAAGAGGGAGGGAGGGAGGGAGGGATAGAGGGAAGAAGGGAGAGAGGGAGGAGGAGGAGCAGGAGCAGGGAGGGGCGGGGCAGCCTCAGGATGCTAAGGAGGGAGGTCAGGACCTGAAGCAGGTGGGCCAGGCCACGCCTCTCCCCGCCCCCACCCCAGGCGGCAATCCAGCCGTGTCTCACAGAGAGCCAGCACCCAGCATGTGCCTCAGTCCGTACGAAGAGAACCTGACACCCATGACCTCCGACATCCCACACACACACCGTGAGTCCCCAGCACAGACGCGTGGCTGGGCAGCGGGAGAGATACCTGCTGAGGGGAGGGGAAGCAGGAATCCTGAGGGCTTCCGGGAGGCGGCCACGGGGGTGGCACAACCCCTCCCCTGCTCCTGACCCAGAGCCCCAGGCCATACTTCAGGGAGGCATTTGAGATCTTGCCTCCTGGCCATGTGGTTAGTTTTTCTCAAGTAAAATTTATAAAAGTAAAAAAGAAAAAAAAGGCTCAGAGCTGTCATCCCCATGACTTAGGCCTCCAGGCAAGAGGAGCACCGAGGGAAGCCGCCCAGAGCAGTTAAGTGACTGGCTCAGAACCCAC